CGAAGCGACCTTTTAAAATGAATGGAAAAACAACGAATGTTTTTGTGGAGTTTTTATAATTAACGAATTGTGGTTTCGTTGAATGTAAAATTTTACCTATATGTTAATCCATTAATTTGCTTTAAGTAATATAGTACGCTTACTGGAATACACTGTTGGCTCAGAAGATGACAGGGCGCGGGTTGCGGGGCGCGCGGCGCGCGGCGCGGGTACGAGCAGTTATTGTTGCGTTGCTATTACCTTTGAAGTAGATTACTTCTTTTCCTTTGAACTGAATATGAACAAGTTTGCCATATATTATAAAATCGCAATAAAATGTTTGTAGTATGGAGAGGGGTATGAGTGCGGCGGGAAGATTAGACGGGAAGTGGGAGGGCGATGCACGCCCGAGGCGAGGCAGATCTAAGCTGAGCGCGGAGCAATATCGCCTCCGCATCCTCCGCTCTGGTGCCGCTGTTGCGCGACCAGTCGCCGATATTAACTTATAAAACCCTCTCCGCCGCTCACAGATATGAAAGATGAAATTTATCTTCTATGTCATTTAATCTGTCCGTTATGACAAGGGAACTATTGCCATCTGCGGGGTGTGCAGGGAGTGAGGGGTCGACGGGGACACGGTCCTATTGTGTTTCCATAAGACCAAGAGTTTTACTAAATTGCACGTTTTCATTTACTTTAACACAATCATAATTAAATACGTCAACATTACTATTGAATGCATACCTTTTAGAAAATAAGGAAAGGAATACGTTTAATACGTTTTTTTTGTCGATAATATAGTATTGAACGTGGGACGAGCGATAGCAATGCAATAACATGTGTCGTTTGGGACGAAGGTCTCCGCTCCGAGCTCCGAGTCTTGCTTATATTATCAATTTGTTGCGTAATATTACAACTATTATCATTTACTGCAAATATGTTATAAATATTATAAAATTGCGGCGCAGGTGCGGGAACATAACGCGGGTAATCAGCCAACTATACATATTATTTTTACATTGATGTTAATTAATACTGAAGTAAAGTAAATCAAATAGCAAAACTAGAAATTTAGTAACCGTGTTTTTTTTAACATATTTTACAAAGCTCGTGTCCACTGAAGCAGCAGAATAGTGAACTGAAGCGCGTGTTAGCTTTAGTACAGCGGGCAATAAAGTCTGTAATGCCTCGTGAAAAATGTCGATCGCCTCGTGTATGCCCAACTCTATTTTATTATATTGTTGTTTTGTGAATGTGAACCTTTTTATTTCTAAACGCTATTTGTTGTATTCCCTTTTGTTGACATATTTACCTTGATCAATGTGTAATTTCTAATATTTTTGTATAATTTAAATTAAAACTACTAAGTTATGGATGTTGTGTTAATTTATTATCATTCTCGAGTTGCTTACTTTGAATAAAGTAACTAAATTCACAAATAATGAAAATAAAGACGAAGTACTAATATTAATTTCTAACAATAATAATGATTCTGAAGTTAACATTAAGAAGGTAATCAAAACTAAAAGTAATATATTTAACATAATATTGTCCAAGAGATGGCAATCAATAAAGTAATCACTTTTATAAAAATACACGCACGTGTGAGACTTACCGCATAAAATTGTTATTATGTTTTGTGAAGAGTGGCGTCTTCAGAGAAGCGCTTCAAATTGATTGAGTGACACACGCCGCATACAGAGCGGGCCCGCGACGTCCCCGCGCCCGCACCGCGCCAGCACCGCGCCCGCACCGCGCGACACACGAACATAGGACGAGATAATCCGCCGGTTATATAGAACAGGCGTGGATTCCTAATGCATCTGTAATCAAGTATCCTAATCAATTTGTGATTTAATTTCCAAACATTTACTGAAGTTGCGGCAACGGCTAGTGTTACGGGAATACGGATTTCACAAAATTTTATTTCAAATTAAGTATAATTAAAACAGAGTTTTTCGGTGACATTTGAACTTTTTATTATATTTTCTGCGATCGGAATTGTTCTAAAGCTAAAGCTGAAAAACAGCTACGCGATGCACAAAGTGAAGTGTTGTAAATTGCTTTGCACTTTCAGTACGGAGTGGTTTCTAGTTTGTAGCAACGGAAGGAGTAAGTGATGACGGCTAATTGATTCTTGAAACGCTTTTTGCAACATCCCCCCCCCCCCGACCCCCGAGCACACTGCTCTCTGCAGCTGCAAATAGAAAGCTTTCAATCGTATTGAAACAAAAATTGTTAAAACACATTCTCTGTGTGCAAGCTCTAACTTGAACGTAAATATTTGTGTGCGATTTTTATCTCTACTGCTTTATCATGTTCGTGGGAAGATGCATTGTAGATTTATTTTTAGAAAATTAATATTAAAATACGGGAACACAATCATTGTGATATTATATTCTTTTTGCTAGATATTTTGTGGCACCTTTCAGTGCATTTACAATGGAATTGTTCAACACCGGCGCTGCATTGTGCACGCTGTGGCGGCCCATTGCTCGGCTCATTGATATGCCGGCGGGGGGCTGCCGGGGGGCGCGCTCCATTACGCCGGGCTGTGAGCCGCGTCGCTTTACAAAGGCGGCGCGAGACAAAAAGAGTCGGAGCCCTAATGACGCGCCATCCGACGCCGACACTCCGCGCGTGAGACCCGCGCCACCATACTAAGGGCCCCACTTTTAGTCACACTACACTCCTCATTACACGTATCTCTATTATTTGAAAATTTGTTTTTGTGCTACATTTGTGCCAGCGTTCAAAGTACGCGAGAGGTGGCACGTTTTGTTTCCGACATAGCAGCTGGCTGGTACGAAGGGCGACCAACTTCCGACCACCAGCCGCACGCAACACTTCCTCAGGCCGATGCCGAAGTCACATTAGAAAGCAATAGAGCTACGTCCACCGACAGACGTTTTTTTGCAATTTGTCGACGAAGGATGCTTCGTGCTGACAGTAAACAGAGACATCAATTTATGGCTGCACTCTCCTCTGTTCAATCGATCACGAAAGCAATCCATTTGAATTTAAAGTGTCCCTTCGTCTCGTAAACGTGCAGCGAGCTAGAGCGGGCGCGTGGCCGCGGATAGTTAAACTTGCATCTCGTAATGCAGTGCACGGACAGTAAACCCAGTGCGCCACTAAACCCGCTAAATGATAACACGAGGCTCGTAAAAGAGGTCGTAAAGCTAACGCTAGAGCCGCCGGTGGCAAGTTCCGGCCCGCACCGGTCCAGCACACCGCTCGCATACAGCACGCGCCGGCCTCGCAACGCGCTTAGTGAGACGTCGAACGTCATATGGTAATTACTTTTTTAAGTTTAGTAATGTAATTAACAGAGTATTTAAGTTGCAGAAGATAAAAGAGGAAAGATAAAGTGGACGGAAAGTGATATCGCTGCTCACGTCCCTTCACTCATTGTACTCGTACTGAAGGCAATCTCGTAGGCACATTATACTATCTAGAGTAACTAACTGTATTTATGTAAATATTAAAGTTATTTGCTTGTGTGTTTTTTTTTGTCAAGCCGCCGATTTCTAAATTAACATCATAACTTTGTGTAATTTTGAACAAATAGTAGGAATAGAAATAGTTATATTTGTATCCTTCAACAAACAAAATCCAGAAAGTTTCGATGCAAATAATAAAGTTTAAAAGAGAACGAGCAGAAAAAAAATATTCTCAATTCTATATCAAAAAGGAAACTTTATAAGTTTTAGTTTTGAAGTCAAAACTCTCAGACTCGAAGTATCATTAATCACTAACGCGTATAATTTAAAAATGACGAAAGAGTTATCCAATTTGAGCAAAACGTTAAAAGTTTCGGCGCGAGCTGCCTATTCATGTGTTAAATCCAACGTCCCCCCGCCCCACCACACCTCCACAACCCCGCGTCTTCGGCGAGCAAGTTTGCAGCGAGAGTTTTTAGCAAAAGTCAGAACTCTGGGAAGTTATAAGTTTAATCTACAAGTCGCAGGTCCGGTGACACATACTGTGGACGCAATATCGGTACTGCGAGTGACTATTATTGCCTAACAGATAACACGTGCCAATTTGAGTGTATACATAGATTTGCTTTCTACTTTTTTATTGCTCAATAAGTTTATCCTTAAACTATTTCATTTTAGTCATTTAAAATCACTAGATGTTTTAAGTTCTTGTTTAAAGTTTCATTTCGAAGCTTTCCAAATCAAATCTTGGTTAATAAGACTTGATGTTAAACATAACATGTAACATTAGTGATTTGGTATTTTATAAAATCTTATGTTTAATAAAATCCCCTGTAATGTGTTGACACTGACAACACCATGGCACTCATTGATGGAATAACATTGATTCCTTTCGCAAATGATACTACCGATAACGTGTGCCGCACCCCTCACCCCGCACCTCACACCACACACCCCGCACCTTGTAGCCAAGCTATTTATTAAATTAAGCAAATATTAATGTAGTAAGTATGTGCACCAACAGCGCACGCGGACTCTGTCCATTGTGAATCTGTGACGTTTCACCGGAATTATTTTAGTTATTTAGTGGTTTCTAATAACCGAACTTCTACTTTTAACATAACTAAATATTGCCAGTGCTGCTGCTGAAGGGCAGCGCGCTGACCGAAGCCGAGCGGCCAGGGCCTCTAGCATACTCTATTGCTCAATCTTTAACCTATCTTAAAATTATGTTAAAACTTTCTAATCTCTTATTTCCGAAGAATGATACTCTAATTTTCAATAGGGCAGTGGGATCTACGCCACGGACCATGACACTTCAACTTATTTGTTGTTAAAACTATGTGCTCTTCCAGACTATGTTCTACGTGTATATCAAATTTTATCGAAATGCATTCAGCAGTTCTGGAGATATCTTCAAACAAACATTCATCCATCCAATCTGCATTCGCATTTATAACATTAGTAAGATGTAGAACTTGAAGTAATTAACTTTGAGTTACACAAGGTGGAGAGTGTATGTATGTATGTATGTACTTACAGATAAAGTTCAATGAAAAATTAAACAAATTATGGCTTCGAATAATCTTTTATTAGAGTAAATTAAACGTCTTAGGAAGCCGTTCAATATACATAAACTCCACTAATTAAATACAATTACTTAATAACACTAAGAATTAGTTGCACTAACTATGACTTTATGACATGTACGAGTACAGGATAGAGATACACACGCCCTGCGCTATGCGCGCTACATCGCGGGCGAATCACTTAACACTAATTACAATTTAACCCTAGAAGGTGACAGGAGCTACATTTGTACGTAGATTTTAGTAACAAATTAATTTATAAGGATTAATAAACAAAGAACAGGAGAGAAACTCAAATAGGAACTTGTGCCGCCATTCTTATCCGCTGCACATCGTTATAGTTCCACGCTAGATAATTAACTGTAGATACAGAGACGGACAAACAGCAGAGCGGTATTTTCAGTTGTTCAGGTGACGTCGACGTGGGTAGGATCGCGCGGGTATAGCTTAGGCCGCCTCGCCCTGTCCTCCCCGGCCGGCCTGCCCGTGCGCAACACCTCGCCCGTTTCCTTCTGACAAAAACAGCACATCATTAATATATATATATATACATATTTTGGGAACATTATACATATTACATACAATATGCATTTTTAATGTTCATATAATATTCATTTAAGACAAGAGAGTCTGTCATATAGGTAGAAAAATAAGAACAGTACGATGTCATGATCATAATATTTATAATTACTTGTATATCCGTTACTTGTGTCATAAATGTGCAAATTTATTTGATTAATGTTTGGTGCCATGTCCGACCGACGTCTTTATCTTGTGCCTTACGTATTTCTGAATTCAACATGGTGTACTATAAAATGAATGTCGGGGAACTAAACGCGCCGCCTTGTTATTGAATGCTAAAAGTTAATTTACACACATTTTGACAGCTCCAGTGCTGAGAAAGACATGTTATTTGTTATTACTTTGCTCCCCTTGTCCCCCCAACAAACGCGTCACGTCACGTCACGTCACGCGCCCAATCTGCCACATCTCGCAGCGAATTGACACATTTTATCGGTTATTTGCGAGGTGGGAGCGCCACATGCGATATAATCACGTCATGTTTATGTACGCGACGAGAATGCGGTGACGGCGCAGTCGGAGCGGGGTGGGGGGG